TCTACCAAAAAGAAAAAAAAGGGGGGGGTGGGGGTGGGGCGGAGAGCGGGGATAGATTTGCTAAACATCATCTAGAATTGTCAGCAAGAGTTTAACAAAAAGAGCACAGGAGGGGACTGGTATCTTGCATCAGGACTAGAACTTTTCAGGCTGAAGATATAAAGGTAGCATTCCAAGTTTGTAATTAATTTAAGGGCTTTTCTTTAGAAGACCACTCAAAAATAAAGCAGACAACACCCACCCTTAATGTGCTGCTATCCTTTTCTAAAACTTGAAACCAATACAGTTGAGTATGCATTGCCTCAAAACAACGACTTTCAGCTTTTGAATCAAGTCACTTTTCCCCCAGTTCAGTGGGAAAGGCATGTTCCTCCAGTCCATTAGATATTTTGCATTAAGACGAGACTGTCACTTAAAAGCTATCACTTCCTCTTTACAATAATCGACACGCTGCCTCGTCATCAGAAAGTTAACACTTCAGAAGAGCAGTTCCTATTTTTAGGTAACACGAGAAAACGAAAAAAACCCCAATGCTTCCAAGTTTTTCTTATGATGCAAATACCAGTAGCAGCAGTGATGAGCAGCTGTGCATTTTTTAATGGCTCTTTAAACTGTTTCCTAAAGCAGCTCCATCATACTTAAACTGTTCTGAACTTCTCAGGCAGCACCTTCTACCCTTACTCATTCAACTCTTCCACTTCTAGCCAAAAGCATGTAATTATTTTTTACATAAAAAGACTAGGAGTTACCGTAGTGATTGAGATCGTGCATTGCTGATTTTCCCAAAGCAGACTTTGTTTCCTCTCAGCATTCTGGTTGATTATACTAAACTAGGAATTAATATAGAGGAAGCGAGGATTTGCTTTTTCTAGGCAAATTATTTCCTGGAAGTATAATTTCTGCACTGATCATCAGCAATACAGTCTCTCACTAAAGTTGAGAGCCTAAGCAAATAGCTGCAAAAGCTAGCAAAATTAACTTCTGAAAGCTTCATATTTTGGTTTCAGTAAGATTTAGACTTCACTAGCCTCATGCTTGCAAAGGTAAGCTGTCAGATAGTTTGATATCTAATTATACAAAGCTCTGAATGAGCAAAATTTGAAGAGATGGTTTCACAGTAGTCAGCAAATAACCTGTGTCAAAATCCCACCTCTCCTCAATTCCCTCTCCTACCTCCTTTTGTTAGGACAAATTAATTTGGGAAATAATAGCAGTTCTAGCAAAAATAACTAGAGAAGTCCTCCAGAAAAAATATGGTTTGAAAGCAGAGAAAATCCTTCAGTGTATTTGTGTTCATGCCACACAAACTGTCCTTTAAAAGCCAAACACACATATGTCAGGGAGAAAGAAGCGATGAAAGATTAGCAGGCAAATCTAAACTTGTTACAAGCACTGCTGCAAGTACACACAGCTACACTAGCCCTGTTCCAAGAACTGCATCTTCTAACACTTTCCAACCACTAACAAATGCTTTCCAACCTGAAATCAATTGTTTTCCTAGCAAGAACAAAAGAGTGCATTTTCACGGTAGTCGAAATAAACTAGAAGTATTTAGAATGCTATTGACCGTGTTTCCACAACAGCATTAGGCATCTGGTTTAATCACAATGTAACAAAAGCTCAAGGACACAGGTTGCAGTTGATGCTTTTTATCAAATTTATGCTCCCTAAAACGTTCGTTTTCACCAAAGTTTAAGTTCCATAACTGAAAAAAAACCTACCATGGCAACGTAAGCAGCAGTTCCAATGCAACAGCAGCTGCTGCTGGTCACAGAACCCCAGCATTCAGATGTGCCAGTGACTCTAAGAGATCCTGTTAGCCTATGGTAAATACAATGCCTTCATCTTGCATTTAGGGTCCTGCTCACTAGCTTATCGTCCCTCAGCATCCCCAACTACAGCTGGGAAACACTCATCTTGCCTTAGTTATTTGTCTGCTGAGAACAAGGATAACAAGGCTAAGTCCAGAGATTTCACTGTATGGCAGATCCGTGCTGCCCACACTGCCCTATCTCAGCTCCCAGAAAACACGAGCCAGCCTGGAGCGGATGGATCTAACTCAGCTGGTACCTGAGCTGGCTGCCCAGGCTGAGGGACACACTGCCACAATTCCAAACACTGCCTTGGAGCCAGGGTCAGGCAAGATGCCCATAGGGACACAGAGTTAATTATCCTTTCTAGATAAGTTCTGAGAAAGCTTCACTGATGACAAGTATCCTGCCAAAAAATTAGACTGGGGAAAAAAACCCTATTTAACTCCTGCAGGTATTCTTGCTTCCTCTTTTGGCTTCAAAACTTTAAAAAAAGAGCTAGATTTTTATTGGTATTCACAGATCTACTATGGCATCTTTTGTATCCTCGAAAAACCCATTACTTCTCATTCTAGGAAATATCATTCAAAATAGCAAGAACTACAACTCCTCTAATAAGAGGATAATCTACAACATTCCTGGAAAATGTTTGTGCACCAATGTTTTCCTCACTACTTAACTTGTAAACACATTCCTCTGACTGGTTATTATGAAATACTTGACAGCCTCAGCTGTATTAAAATGTAATCAAAACTACTTTGGCCCTACTCTTTTGGTACACACAGCAGCTCTTTCGCTTCCTGAACTCTGTACTTTGCTTGCTGCTCTAGCAGCATAATCGTTATGTAGTATTAACACCTACACCCCGTTTTTAGTGAACAAACAGGAGAGCAGTAAGTTTGATAACTTGTTAAACTGTAGGTGGAGGATATGTGAGTGGGTAGGCTTTGACATCCTGTAGGAGGTATTCCCGATTAGGGGTAATACAGAGCAACAGTTTCTGAAAGTGTAAAGATCTAAGTAAACTCCCATAGCAAGGCAGGCTACAGGAATTTAGCCTTGAGAAAAAGCTTTGCTTAGAAATTTACACACACCAAAGGTGGGCAAGGGCCTCTGCCCTCCTTGCCCAGGACACTGCCCATTCAATCTGACCTTGAAACTCACCCAGATAAAGATGCAGCTGCATCCTTGGCTCTTGTCAACACAGTCTAAGCATGCAGACTGCTGACCTTCAGCACGAGACCTTTCAGTTTCAAGGTTGGTATTGTCTGTTACAGGCAAGCCTCTGCAAGCCTGTACCATGACATTCTGTTCAGGTTTAACTCAGATATGAACTCTTAAAAATTGCTGTTTCCCCTTCTCTCCTTCAGGAAGTGCACCAAAACAAACTGAACACAAACATATCACAGAATCACAGAATGTTAGGGATTGGAAGGGACCTCGAAAGATCATCTAGTCCAATCCCCCTGCTGGAGCAGGAACCTAAATGAGATCACACAGGAAGGCGTCCAGGCGGGTCTCGAATGTCTCCAGAGAAGGAGACTCCACAACCTCCCTGGGCAGCCTGTCCCAGGGCTCCGTCACCCTCACTGTAAAGAAGTTTTTTCTCAAGTTTAAGCGGAACCTCCTGTGTTCCAGCTCACACCCACTGCCCCTTGTCCTACCATTGGGCATCACTGAGAAAAGCCTGGCTCCATTCTCGTGACATTCACCCTTAACATATTTATAAACATTAATGAGGTCTCCCCTCAGTCTCCTCTTCTCCAAGCTAAAGAGACCCAGCTCCCTCAGCCTTTCCTCAGAAGGGAGATGCTCCACTCCCTTAATCATCTTGGTGGCTCTGCGCTGGACTCTCTCAAGCAGTTAATATTAAGATTCAGCCCGCACTGGTACCCCAAAAGCCAACTTCATCCTGCACAGTACAAAGATATGGGGACGAGACACAAGAGTGGAATAAAAAAGGAAACTGCTCAGTCCCACCCAAAACCTGTTATCCAACATGCACAACAGAAAGTCATTTCTACAGGAAGGGAAGAGACCAACCAAGTCCATCTTTCAATCAAAGCCAGAAAGCACACCCAACACATCCAAGTGTCATTGTTTGCTGCAAGCTAGGGACAATTACTGCCATGGTTCAACGTGGAGCAGTATGTACTACTGCTCCAAAGAGTCCAGATTTAAATCCTGCTGCCTTTACATAGGCATTAGTACAGCGAAGGAAGTTGTCTACCTCTTTACCAGGCAGGAAATTGCTTTTTAAACTCTAAGAAGCCCTACTAGGTTGCAAAATCAAGCTCTGAAGAGGTAAGTGCTGTTCTGCAGAGTCACAAAACTCTGCTTCCCTCTGTTACTCACCTTTCAGTGCACACATTGCAAGTATGATGTCCTGCAGTCTAAGAGCATGAAAATATTTAATACGTTGATTTTTAATTGTACAGTTTGAGGAGCACATACGCCTTTTATCCTTTAATCCCCGTAATGCTGTGCTGAATGCTTCCAGTACCCAAAATTCCAGCATTCTAGAAGCTTGGGAAAGATGACCAAGACATCTGCCACGTGCTAGAAGTTGATAACATAACTTCTTTGATAGCCTATTACAACAGACACTCAATCTGATGGTTGAAAAAAATATTTCTGATGAACTGAAGTCCAAGCGCTTCAGAAAAATACTTTCAAATAGCTTTTGAACAACCTAAGGAAACCTTTGCCTTCAGTTACCCCAAACTTACAGCATTTGTACCTCAGGCTTTTAGAATTCAGTTATGTGATTTTACTCCAGTCCCAATAATTGATAGTTCATTTAAGAATTAAGTGTGCTAATCTTCAGGGGGAAGAAAAAGGGGAGAGGGAATCCAATCAGCCACTTTAAAGAACTACTTATTAAGTCTTCCTCTTCCAAATTCAACTACTTCTACTGCCTGTTTTCTAAAGAGTTCAGCTGGCACTTGAAAACAATTCTTAGCATGCCAATGAAAAATGCATTCTTAGCACCTCTCCACAGGAAGTGGATATAGACTAGCACTTTCTGATAATCAGCGCCAATAGGTGTGGCTATAACTTCACATTTTTTAATATCAGATTGATGTTGCCAGGTCACTGAAAAGCATGACAAATTTGACAGTGTTTCTACCTGATCTGCATAAGAGCACCATGCCATGTCCTATAGAAATGTTGTCGCTTTAATACCAGATAATGAAAAACTAACAATATCAGGCGAACTTCACTTAAACCGGGACATATTTACATACTTTGCACTCGATCTGTTCCTCTCCCCCTCAAATCCTGAATGCCTTGGCTAACAGTAAGCTTATAAAGTTAGCATGCACTGTTGCTAGCTGGTCTGTTGGCACTTTTTGACCTAAAAATAATTGCCAGAAAACCTAGTTTACCAGTTCAGGTAACACTATAGCTCTGATGATTTTCAGCACTCATATTCTACCATCCCTGACAAGGTCAGGCTTTTCAAATGATAGTTCATGCCAAAATTAAGGCAAATTCAGTTTTAAAACTTTTATATTAAGTCAATAAGATTATCCCTTCACCAAGCTACATCTCAAATAATGCACCTTCATACTTTAACATGCTCCTTTCAAACACTGCCGCAGTTTCTGGGCAGGAGCTCTTAAGAAGCATCTCCTACCCCTTTTCACATTTAAAAGTCACTTTCCACATAGCACAGGGGAAATTCCAGCTCTCACCACTACACTGCTGATCCCTCATCTCTCTCCCAGCCAACAACCCCCTGTGCTACTTGCTACCACATTTACACTTTTGTTTCACGTGAAGAACTGCTTAATGACATGACCAGCTTTTGTGACAGACCTTTCACATGCTCTGTAAGCCAGTGCCGAGGGATCAGGATTAGACTCAAGACGTTTGCTCTTCCAACCAGAAACCACTGTCCTCAGCAACTCACCACGACCTCTCCCCTCAGATCTGCCAACTCACTCCCTGAACTGTTTCAGCCAGAACTCAGCAGGGTTTGAGACCTTCAGACGGAGCCATCAGAACGGGCTTGTTTTGACTGAAGCAGCCCGGGGAGCTCCAGCTCTCCGGACGGACAGCGGAAGCAATAACGAACCCACAAGCGATTCAGCGGAGGGCAGAGAAAACATGTCCCCACACTTTTGGTTCTGCTCGTGACGGCTGCAGAACCCTTTCACACGCCCAGACGGGCCGTGTTTTCCCACCCGCACGGAGTACGAGCGCTCCTGCCCCCGCAGCCCTCGCTCTTGGCCCCCCCTCCCCCCCCCCGCCAGCGGGAAGCCGGCGAATATAATTTCCCTCCCTCGAACCGCAGCTTCGGCAATTTCCTCCTGGCTCCGGGCAAGGAGCGGTGGCTGCGCGCCTCCTGGCAAAGTTACAGCGCCAAACCCCATTTTCCCCCGCGCCCCGCCCCAGTGCTGCGCTTCCCCGGCTCAGCC